GACCTTAGAAGGCTAGGGCCAAAATGTTGGCTTTCCTTGCAGCCCTCCTTTTTCTCTAATTTTGGTCTGCAAACTTAGGTTGTTAACCATCCAGAAGATGTCCCAGGATTTGAAAATTTATGTCTAAATAAAAACCATGCAAGTGTCAGCCAAATAGCTCAGCGGATTAAAGCACCAGCAAGCAGACTCAGAGGCAAGGGGTTCGATTCCCAGGCTTGACGTGCCAGCCCCGCTCCCAGGGCACGCTGAGACAGCAATTGAGACTGGGTGGTGTGCGCCTGTAATCCCACCACTTGGGAGGCTGTAAACAGGAGAATCACTATGAGCCTGATCTAGTAATGAGACCCTGTAGACCCTTCCCTAAAAATACAGAAAGTAAAAAAAAAAATTTAAAAATGCATTTGTTTATAGGACGTTTGTAGCCATCAAAATTTGTAAGCAACCAAGATGTCTTTTAGTAAAGGGGTAAATTGTGGCACATACTGACAATGGAGTATTAGTGCAAAGTGCAATTAGCTACCAAGTCACGTGAAGACTCAGGAGAAACGGAAATGGACACTGAATGAAAGCAGCCCATCTGAAAAGCCCAAATTCCAACGATGTGACTTTATGAAAAAGACAAAATTATGAAGACAGTAAAAAGGGTTTTGGGGTTATCCCTCTGGTGTTCTCAAGAAAGCATTAGGAAGCCGGGGGGTGGTGCACACCTGTAATCCCAGCACTCAGGAGGCTGAGGCAAGAAAATGGTGCCAGCCTGAGCTACAAAGTGAGTCCTAGGTGCTCGCTTCGGCAGCACATATACTAAAACTGGAACAATACAGAGATTAGCATGGTCCCCGCACAAGGATGACACGCAAATTCGTGAAGCATTCCGTATTTTTTTGAGATGTAGGGGACTCAGGTCAACAACTTCTGATATTGCCAGGAGAGTGGAAGACTCAGTATTATTATGGAATATTTTGCTGAGTTCACGCACCTATATTTAAATGACAGGGGAGCCTGCCCCTTAGCTCAATTCTTTAAGTGGTTGCTTCAACCAAGCAGTCAGGCTCAGGTTGCTGTGGTTCGATCCCTACAACTCAAACCAGCCAAACCTGCCCTCAAGGCATGCAGAGCATAAAAAAAAAAAAAAAAAAAAAAAAAAATCCTTCTGCCTAAATTTAAATGATGGAACTGAACAAAAAAGGGAATACAGATGAATGACCATTTTGTATCTGCGTATTCAAAATGGTTAGGATATATAGCTACATTCTCTTAATTCAATGAATAGAGAGATTTGTTCCTAATAGTATTTGTAGATAGGCTATAATGTCTGTATCTTGTACAACAAATAACCACTAGGAAGACAGTATGCAATGTGTTAATTATTGGAACTGTCCTACCAATTTGATTTGAAACTGTCTTATTGCCTATTTCTCAATAAAGTTATGGTAAAAAAATAAACATACTGTTATCTTACGTACCCCAAACATAAATGTGCTAGTAAAAATAAAGTGTACATACATGTACGTGTGGCTGAAGTTGGAGAATGCACTCTCACGTGGCCCCTACCGTCTCAGTGTGGCTCGCTACCCTAGCCCAGGTGTCACTGGAGGGCGAGGCTGGCAGCAGGAGGCTGGCACACGTGGAAGGGGCTCCTGGGCAGCCCTGCTACCTTCCGCTCAACTCTGCACGAACTGCTCTTAAGTCTAGTCAAAAAATAAACTGCTGGCTTTTCAGATGCCTTTAGGAAGATGAAAATTACACTTTTTAAGGAAGAAAACTGAAAAGTGACCTTTTAAGTATGAGTTTATTCTCTAGATTTTCTTAAATACCCACAAATTACTTTTTTTTATTGCTGCAATATCCAGAAGCTGAAAACAATTTAAAACAGGTATTTTATTATACATTTAACACTTAGAATAGAACTGTATGAGCTTTAAAGGTCTTTCAATGATTTAATAAGCATATGCAAATTGAATATAATTATACCAATAGCTCTTGGACTCTGTAATAAAAACATAAATTACAAGGAAACACATGGTAATTCACAGAGACAAACAATAGCTCACTGCCTCACCTGCTGGTTAATGAATAATGAAAACAATTCTGGATTAAATACAGTCTTCTTCGTAGCTGAAGCGCAGTAGTTCTATGCTCTCACGAATGCTTTAAGGTCCAAACTGTAAAGCAGTATTAATTTAGGTTCTGAACATCTCTAATCTTGACTGCCTTACGCTAACGGTAACACTTAAGCTGGTAAATCATCAGTGTGCTTGATTAATAGGAGGACAAAGCCTGAGACGGGTAAGCAGCTCATCAGGCCAAGGGAGATCTGGCCACCAAACACAAGCATAAAAGGCACCAAATCACACTCCAGGAAGAGCCCAGCATTTAATGGGCACACCTGGCTGGCAGCCCAGGCGTGCCAGCCCAAAGGTAGCAGTCCCTGCAAAGACAACATGAGTAAGCTAGATTCAAATGAACAACTGTACTTACCAATCAACAGTACAAAGTGCTTTCTTTACCCTTCAGTCAAAACTAAAGCTGTATTTTAATTGCTAGGTCACCACTTAAATGGTGATGAACTGGCAGTATTTAGGGTTAGCTGTTTAAAGGTAATAGCAGATGATGATGCTGTGACCAGTGCAGTGAATTTCCAAAGAATAAAATTAATCTAGTGCTGCAAGAGTACTATTCATGATTTAGAACACAATTACAGAAATCCCACATTGTCCCCATTAAGTGGGAAGTTATGAAAAATACCATTTGTAGAATGCCCCGTTCTTCTCTTTTTAATTGGATTTTTAAAAGTAGACCTCACTTTCATTTAAACATCATTTTAAATTACTTTCTAACATTGCTTCATTTTTCTATGAAATAAATCAAATTTAAAAAAACTTCCAAAGTTTGCTCCTAGTAAGTGATCTCAGATGGTTTTGATGCTAAATAACTATTTTGTTACTGATTGTTTAAAAAAAGAAAGCCTCTTTCATTTAATGAGGGTGGCCTGAAATGTTATTTTTTAAGCATTAAAAAAATACTAGGTTATCCAAAATCCTGTAAGCTAAGGTTGCTGGAGGAAATGAATTTAGAATATTTATTTTTATTTATTTTCCTTATATATCTAGGGAAGGGTCTACAGGGTGTTCAGGGTCTCCCTACTAGATCGGACTCCCAGTGATTCTCCTGTTTACAGCCTCCCAAGAGCTGGGATTACAGGACTGTACCACCATGCCCAGTCTCAACTCCATCTCAGGGCATGCACCAGGGGTGGGGCCAGCATGGCAGGCCCCAGGGATCGAACCCTGGGCCCTGGGCCTGCTCCTGCTTGCAGGTGCTTTAATCTGCTGAGCTATCTGGCCAGGCCTGAATTTGGAATACTGATGGTATAATGAGATCTATAAACAAAAACCACGAGGAAGTTTTGTGAAAACAATTTTCAAAAACAGTAGTAGTTGTATGTGGTGGCGCCCACCTGTAATCCCAGCAATTGGCAGGCAGAAGCAGGATTGCCCTAAATTTGAAAACAGCCTGGGAGACATGGTGAGTTCAAGGCCAGCCTGGATTACATAGTGAGACCCCGTCTCAAAAAACTAAAACTACATACGAGAACCCAAAAGAAGGTGGTGGTGAGAACAGCCCAAGCATGTCACCTCCACACAGAGCAGAGTGCTAGCAGTGTGGCCTGATTTCATTAAGAACTGGTTAAGTCAGGGGAAGGAGGACAAAAGTAATCAAACCACTATGACTGAACATGGTTTGACTAAAACAAAAGTCTTGCCCAAGCTTGATGGCACACGTCCGGAACCCAAGCACTCAGGAGGCTGCAGCAGGAGGATTCTGTCAGATCAGAGCCAGCCTGAGCCACATAGTGAGTTCAAGGCCAGCCTGAACTACAGTAAAACACTGTCTCAAACACACCCCTCAGTCAAAGACTGTCTAGTCTACCAGGTCACCCCGTAAACATGCCCTGGACTTCCTACCATGACACCAAAATACAGATCACAACTCGCCAAAACGTCCTTATGCTCAGCGCTTTTTCCTTCCCCCAAGTCACCGACAGCTCCATGATGACTGCTTTAAAATCACATGGCTGGGCGCAGCTGGACACACCCATAAGCCCAGCGGCCTGGGAGGTGGCGGCAAGAGAGTCAAACAGCTGAGGCCAGCACAGGCAACTGAGACTGTCTCAAAAACTAAGAAAGGGCTCAATGTGTAATTCAGTGCATCCTAAAGTCAAGCCTCAGTACTGCAAACAAAAAACAAATGCAGAGAGCCACTTGGATCACTACCCCACAAAAGTTTAGAAGCAAAAGTAACTATAGAAGGTAAATCCACATATACTGCTTTTATTATACAGTTGTTAGTTGATGAAAACAACTATCTAAAGAATTTTCAAGTGATAGGAAAACATTCTTAGGTAACTTATGACAATGCTGTGTGTGTACTGAGATAATAGGAAAATTTATTTTTGCACCAACTGAAAATACAGGGTTAATAATGAAACTTGGGAATGGAAAGGTCAAAGGGATCCTGAAACACATTCACTATTTCAAAACCTTAGACAAAAGAGCAGAGAATAGGAAAAAAAAAAAAAAACAACAAAACCAAAGAAAACAACATATACACCATGATACCAGTCTTTTTTTAAGGACTTCCTATTTTCTCTCCTTTTAAAAGCATTAAGACCCTTATTGTAGATTATGTATCATCTCCTCTTTGGCTATGAGGTGTGTGGTTTTGTTAACTAGAGACATCAATGAGTTCAGTTTCTGAGACCAGTCATTCAATAAATTATTTGGATCCTTGGGTCTCTGGAAGTTGATAATTCCTGCCAACCGGTCAACTTTAGCAAAGATGGTCTTGTTAACTACCAGATTTGACAGAAAAGCTTCTGAATCCTGCAAGAGAGAAAGACAAGCTGGATTAAAAGAGAATCATTACTGAGGATAAACAAATCTTAAGCACTCCTAACACTCTTCAAAATATAAAGAGCTAACCCTCACTACTAATAGCAACCGCTGACTGCAGCGAGAATGTAGCAGCAAACGTGTGAGCCACACCGAAGCAGTGAACAGGGCCGGCACAGCTGGACACATGTGGCTGAGCCTGGGTCTCCTCCTGCCAGTGCATCTCACCCATCGGCCAGCCACTCCGCTCCCTTCCCTCGTTCCCTGCTAAGAGGCGCTGTGCTAAGGATCACGTGTCCACAGGTGCTGGGTGAGAATGTCCACTACGTCACCACGCAACTGCACAGCCACAGACGCAACACCTTACTGCTAAGGACTTGGGCACTGCCATCCACAAGTGAGAACCAACCAAGGATCAAGCCTTTTAACTGTCCATAGCCACGATTTTTCCTTTAAGTTAAACTGTGACCGGCAACTTTTTTTTTTTTTTCCATTTTATGTATTTGGTACAGAGTTTCACTGTGCAGCTTCATAGCGATCCTCCTGTTTTTAGCCTCCCCAGAGGGGGTGGGGCCGGCACAGCATGCAAGACCAGGGATAGAACTCTGGTCCCTGAGCTTGTCAAAGCAGGCACTTAATCTCCTATCTCTCCTGCCCTTGTGACAGCAACTTTTGATAACAAAGAAACAGCCCTTCGGGACATGACCACACACAGTTAATGCCCACATCTCTGCATGCGCCCTTAGGTCTGTAGGAAAAACAAGCCTGGCCACAGAGCTGCTCCAACAGCTCCTCTGCAGGCGAAGCGCAGCAGAGTCTGCCTCACACATTCTGTCCTGCAGAAACCTAAGCGTACTGATTATATGTCCACTCCGAACTCCCCACGAACCGACACAAAACTACTATGTGGGGGCTGGGGAGATGGCTTATTGGAATAAACGCTTTCTTGGCAAGCGCAAGGGCCTGAGTTCAATCCCCAGTTCTGCCAAAAAAACCACTAATATGTAAGTAAAAGGCTGGGGAGTACTGAGGACTGAATCCATACCACTGAGCGGCACCCCAAGTCCCTAAGTGAAGATTTTTATCTAGTGTAAATACTACTAATGTAATGGTAGACTTACTATTTAGATAATGTTTTGGCACTCAAGCTAGTTTGGGAAGCTTCCTATTGCCTAAATTCATTTTATTTATTTTTGGCTGGCTCAGCCCACCTTCAGGGTGGGGCTGGCACGGCATGTGGTGCCGGGGATTGAACCTTGGTCCCCTGCAGCTGCCTAAGCTTGCCTAAGCAGGTGCTTTAGACTGCTGAGCTATCTTGCCGGCCCTCTATTGCCTAAATTTATTTATTTATTGATGGAACTGGGGATTGAACTCAGGCCCTTGCACTTGCTAGGGAAGCGCTTATTCCACTGAGCCATCTCCCTGGTCCCTTGCCTAAATTTAAATAATAAATTTTTCCTACTCATTTTTACAGGCTGGTACCCAAAGGAATGGTTACAGCAAGCCCAACACGGCGCTTACTACTTACGCCAGCAGGCAGGTCCAGAAGCTGTGCCATCCTCTTCACCGTGATCCGCGTGTAGTACTTGGCCATGATTCTGATGTTCTGGGGACAGGACGGGACGGGACGGGACGGGACGGGACGGGACGGGATAGGGAAATCGCTGTCAGTAAGGGCGGAGTCTGCTCAGCCTCAAACCCAAACAAGTTCACTCACAATGTCAGGCTCTGCCCGCCACTAGAATGAAGCTGCTTCTAACCTTCTTTTTTCTTGTTTTTAGAGCCAAGAATTGAACTCAGGATCTTGCACTTGTGCCAGGCTGTTGAGCTGTATGCCTGGCCTGGCTCTAAATTCCAAGAACAAAGCCTAAACACTGAGATATTTTGATTTCTGAGTTATTATGAGTACTTGACATAATTTTTTGCCAGGCAAGCACTTCTTCCACTGAGCTATCTCCCCAGCCCTTGACATAATTCTTTACGTACATAGTCAAGTAATAAGCTTGTTTTCACTAGGTTATGGTTAATAAATGGCAAAAGTACGAAAATATTCATGCTGAGTGCAAGAAGCTGAAGTTTCTACTTATTTGTGGGTTTGAGCAAGGTCTCACAATGTAGTGAGGGTGGTTTCAAACTTGCTATGTAGGCAAGCTGGTCCAGAACTTGCAATCCCCTGCCTCAGCCACACAACTGCTGAAATCGGCCATGCAGGTATACGCCATGACACCTAGCTGATGCAAATGTTTTAAAGGCTAAAACTCAAAACACACACACGTACATACATAAAACAGAAAGAATCTCAGAATGTTTATCACATCCTTGTCATTATTTAGGGGTAACTGCAAACTATATTTCTTTTCTTTCTTGGTTGTTTTTTTTTTTTGTATTTTTTAGAGGAGGGTCTACAGGGTGTTCAGGGTCTCCCTACTAGATCGGACTCCCAATGATTCTCCTGTTTACAGTCTCCCAAGAGCTGGGATTATGGGCTCACACCACCACACGCAGACTCATTTGCCATCTAAGCGCACCCAGGGAGCAGACCGGCAGGGCAGGCCTGGGGATCACACCCCGAGCCCGTGCCTTCTTGCAGGCACTTTAATCCACTGAGCTATTTGGTGGGCCCTTACATTTCTTTTTTCTTCTTTTTGTTTTTTTGAGACAGGGCTTGTTAGGTAGCTCAGGCTGGCCTTGAGCTCACCTTGTAGCCCAGCATAGCCTCGAACTCACAGCAATCCTCCTGCCTCAGCCTCCAAAGTACTGGGATTACAGGTGTGTAGCACCATACCTGGCTTACGTTTCCTAATTTCCAGTGGCAATGGTGAAATTAGAACTAGCATCCCCTTTACTCTTAAGTGTTCTCAACAAAACACCAACAGCCACACAAATGAATGGGGAAGGCAGAAATGAAAATGAAAGCAGCTGCCCCTCTGCTCTCTACCTGGACTGGCCGTAATGCCGACCTCCTGGAAAGCCTGAGCTGCACTCTGTGCTTCCTTCCCTTCACCTTTTCTTTTTTCTGGTTTGTTGACAGGTTCTTGTTACATAATCCTGGCTTGGCTCGAGCTCTCTGCCTCCTGAGCCCACTAAAGGCGCGATCCCCCCCAACAGCACTCGCTTTACCCTTTATGGGGAATTTACAACCCTGGCCCACGGACTTCCCCTGCTCCTGAGGCTCTTGTTTGCTGCCTCCATTCACATACTCACTGCCCTCATTCACATTCATGTGAAACCTGAGCCCAGACACTATGCATTTAGTTAAAAGTTTTCATTACTGGGGTATGCAAATCTGTTTATGATTAAGACCTCCAGCTTTTCCTGGAGCGTCTAAATTCCCAAATGGTCTGTACCTCTGACTGAGTGACTGCTGTCCCTGTCTGTCTGGTAATTGTGTCCTCTTCTTTTAGTTTTGTCTTTTTGAGACAGGGTCTGGCTGTGCAGTCCAGGCTGGCCTTGAGCTCACCATGTAGACAGGATGGTCTTGAACTCACAGAGACGCTTATGCCTCAACCTCCCAGGTCCGGGGGTCACAGGCGTGCCACCGCAGGCAGCTGCATCTCCTTCTTTTGAATCTCTCTACCCTCCTCAACTCCTCCGTCCTCTACTCTGACCTTTCTTCCATAGAAAGCCAATCAACTAGACTCTGCACACCTGTACCATGATACCGTAATACTTTCTGTTTATAAATATCTTTCCCCATGGTTGTTAATCTTGAAGGGAGGGGACATGCCTTGTTCTCCCACGTGCCCAGCACTTTGTACAGGATCTGGTACAGAGAATGCTCCTAAGAAATATTTGTTACATGAATAAATGAATGGCATTGGTTTAGTTTACAGAGATGCTAAGAAGACCAAAGTTCAGGATTAAGGTACGTAAACCATTTCCAAGACAGCAAGTGAGTATCAAAGTGAAATGCCCTATTTCACTGTGTAGGAGTTTTTCGTTTTGTTGATTTTTGGAGACAGGGTCTTATCATACTGCCCAGGCTGGCCTTGAGGTCCTGCAGCTTACTGAGTAGCTGGGATTATAGACACATCCAAGGGGTATGGCCTATCTCCTGATTTATAAGAAGCTACCTAAGTTTGTATTCTTGAGAAGTCCTCCCAAAATGAAACATGCTGAAATAGTTATTTTTTCTAATAAGGCAAAAATGTTAAATAAATTACTCGTTATAAAAAAAAAAAAAAAAGCAAAAAATGTGAATAAAGACGAAATGGATGAGATAAATTCTAATATGCTATGGGAAACTGAACATTTGAACCACAAATGTACATCCCTCAATGTAGGGCCTAGGGGAAAATTTAACAATTAAAAATATAACATCCAAGGGGCCAGGGAGCTGGCTCAGTAGAATAAGCATTTGCCTGGCAAGCACAAGGACCTGAGTTCAATCCGCAGTTCCACAAAAAAAAAAAAAATTATATT